CCCAATAGCTAGCAATCCAAAACAGTCCAGTGGAGCCTGAGTGGTGGGTGTTGCCTTCTGACACACTTCCGGTGATGTCAGGGGTGTGTGGCATATGTAAATAAGTGATGCTAATGAGCTATGCTAATGAGCTCCTGCACCTCTTTTCCTACGAAATGACCCCTGAACCAGAGTATTTTGTTACCAGGTCCCCAAGTGGTGTTTTCCTGATTCTCCGTTTCCAGCTGCATTTCCCCTGTTTGATCGCTCCTCCGGTCTCAAGCCACTTTCGGTTTAAACCCCCTCCCCGCTCAAAAGCTGCCCAAGGCTTCCGCTTTTCACCCGCCATTCTTTTAAGCGTTGGTAATGTGCGCATAGGTGGAGCTCTGCCACTGCGTTTGTAATGTATACAGTTCAGACCGCGTGGCAGGTTTGGGCTCCATGCGGTCAGGCACAAACGTCGAGCTTCGCTCAAAGAGACAATGGACTATGCGGATCCTAGCCCACTCCAATCAGGGGGCTAGGTTCCTGGCCGAGAGCCTATGGGACTCTCGGCCACTGTAAATAACCTATTGGGAAGTGTATGTGTGTGTTTGGGTAGTGGGTTCTGAGGGAATATAAGCCAGCCTGCGAGCCAGCCAAAGTCGTCTTGTTCCTGATTGAATAAAGTACGCTTTGTTGAAATCGCTCTCCAGTACGCTTTGCTGAAATCACTCTCCGTCTGCGTACTTTTCAGCGTTATTAAAAACAATGTTTAAATGGTGCCTAGTTTTAGCGTTTAGACGAGTTCAGGATCTAACGGAGGCTATTTTCGGGGTAAACGTTTAAAAGGAAGTGTTCCTTTAAAGTTTAAAGGGAATGGGACGAACTCGAACCCCTCCCGTCAGCCGGGTGTCGGCGCGTCTCCATCTAAGCGAGACGAGACGCATCTCGCTTAGCAGCAAAATGCTTAAATTGCTGTTCTGCACACGTGCAAAATTTTTAGTTCTACAGATGGCTGGACGGCAGGCAGCGGTGTGGCTGCACAGTGATCCGGAGCAAGGAGGTGAGTGTGATCGCGATACCCAGGTTAAAAAAACCCGCATCAGGGCTGGAGCAATTTAAACCGCTCCTAGCATGCTGTCTGACCACACCCATAGACTAAATAACAAGTTAAGGTTATAAGGTAATAAAACAGCTGTTTTATTACAAAGGAACTTCAGGAACAGAATGGAAAGGGAAACTGCTGAATTACAAGTTATTATAACACTTGAAACAAAAACCTCCCCAGGACTCAACAGGGATATTGGATTTTTATCCCATTACATCTGCTAACTCATTCAGTTCTCACATAGGTATTTGCAACAAGGATTATAAATTCTCTGTATTTTAGTGTATTTCTTTTTCAGAATGGTATGTTAGAATACTGAATGCAAGGAATATTGGGATGTCTGCTGACAACACTACATCCAGCTCAAAATATGCTGTTAAGTGCCCTCCATGCCTGAGAGGAGATAATTAAGATTCTGTTACTTCCCACAATTAGAAAGAACACCTTCAGACATTTATCTGCTATTGCTTTACAACTGTTGACCTTATAACCTTAACTTGTTATTTAGTTTTTCACTTTGCATAACTTAAACATCATCATGCTACATGTTAATTTGCTGTTAAATCCCTGTCTATAAATTTAGAACCTCATCTACCATTCTAATGTATTTGAAAAAGAGTGCCTTGCACACAAAATCTCATACCTTGAATAAACCTTTGTTGGTCTTAAAGGTGCCACTGGACTCTAAATTTGTTCTACTGCTTCAGATCAACACAGCTGACCATCTGGATCTACCATTATAATCCTGTTGACTTCAATGGACTTAGAATGGTAAAACTCGGTTTAGAATTACATTGCTTCTCAGCATCTCCTAAGATTACCTACTGAGTGAAGGCACTGTGTATCCTCTAATGGCAGGGTCTAGCCCAGAATTACTGTACTCAGAAACACTGGAGAGGTGGAAGTGACAAAACTGAAACCGATCAGTCACCCTTTTAAAAAAGTCAACCAACTTCTCGGAATTTATATGCAGGACAATGGTACAGAAGTTGTTCTGGAAAACAAAATCAGCAACTTGCCTTGAACAAGTAGAAATAGACTTGTTTAGTGTCAGCATCTTCTTCTTTATGGACACAGGTGAAGAGATACTCCACATCCAGCACAATCCCCAACAGTCTGTTCATTTCTTCTTCAGAGACATTCTCCAAATGGGAAACGTGAGCAGCTAAGAACAAATAAACAAAATCCAAAGCTGACTGCAAAGAAATTGAGCCCATAGAGGTGCCCCACAGAATGGCCTGTGTCAGCGATGGCCCAGTAATAACCCACATACTGGATCTGGCCTATAAAGGTATTTTACTTAGCCCCTAACAAAGCTATATGAAAATCACCAGTGCATCCATATTTTTGCAATGAAAGCTATTCATCCTCCCAAAATATTCCAAATGATTATTATCAGACCTTGCTGTATAAATTCCTTCCTTCCTTCCTTCCTTCCTTCCTTCCTTCCTTCCTTCCTTCCTTCCTTCCTTCCTTCCTTCCCATCGAGTCACAGCTGACTTACGGCAACCAGGTAGGGTTTTCAAGGCAAGAGACATTCAGAGTTGGTTTGCCATCGCCTGCCTCTGCATCATGACCCTAGTATTCCTTGGAGGTCTCCCAGCCAATTACTTACCAGGGCTGGCCCTGCTTAGTTTCCAAGATCTAATGAGATTGGGCTAGCCTGGGCTATGCAGGTCAGGGAACATTTTTATTTAACAGCAAAGACTGAATGATCTATTATGCTAAGTAAACTATAGAATAAGGATCAGGGATATTGACGCGCATTCCTTGCTCCTTAGGCCAAGCTTGTCAGATGTCTGGAACAAAGCAGGGTTGACCATGGTCAGTACTCAGATGGGAGATCACCACAGAAGTCCAGGGTTGCTATGCAGAGCAAGACAATGGCAAACCACCTCTGCTCCTCTCTTGCCTTCAACACTCCATGGTTTGAGTCACTATGAGTCAGCTGCAACTTGATGGTACATTCTTCTTCCTTGCTCTACTGTAATTACCTTTGCATTCCTCATTGGAATAAATAGGTCTCTCCTGCTTCCTATGCAGTGTGCTTTTAACATGCTCCATTGATAAGAGCACAGCAAGTGGTCTTTTATTGTATGTACAACAGGGCTGTGGCCATATACCACTGTGCAAAGAACAAAATGTGAGAGATTTCTGGATCTGTGCAAAGATGCTGGCAGCTGAGGTACTTGGTTAACAGGTTACTTCTGTGAAGAACTACAGACCCTCTGCCCCCAGAATAGGATTGCCAGGTCCCTCCTGGCAACCAGCGGGGGATGGGAGACTTAGTAGGAGAGACAGGAAAGCCCAGGTGACATGGTGACATCTCTTCCAGTGCACACAGGAAGTGACGTCATCATGCTGTGCTGGCGTGGCAACGCTCTGGTATTTGGGCAACAACTCTATGATAAAAATGGCTTCTACCATAGAGTTTTTGCCCAAATACTAGAGCATTGCCTGGACATTGCCAGCTGTGTGCGGTGGAAGTGATGTCACCACATCACCGGCAACATGTTGTGGGCCTTCCTCTGTCTCCTGGTAAGTCCTCCTGCTGGCCAGCTAATCAGCGGTGAGGTGGGTGGGGCCAGGCAGTGGGAGACCCCTCCACCAGAGAGCTAGCAGCCCTACTCCAGAACCTGTACCAAATGGTGAATTCAGTTTGAGACTTCTTAACATTGCCTTCTAATATGCATTTACAATTCCAATATTTGCAGAAGAGCCCGTAATCTCAAAAGTAACTTTATTTCTGGACATTTCTAACTCAGTGTTGTCAGTTTGTCCTTGTGGATAAAGAAGCACAGCAGCCCCTACATGTCCAAAGTTCATTATGCAAAAAGAAAAGAAAAAAACCCTCTTTTTATTAAGTCTAGTAGTATGTCCACAAAAACTAAAGAAAAGTAAATGCATCAAAGTCGTAAAAGCTTAATAAATGGCACTTATAACTGTCTAACAGCAGGAGGCTAATTGGGAAATTAGTTACACTGTCATTTTAATGACAGCCGTGGTTTGAACTGTGAAGACACTTTTGTCATCAGCTGTTACCAACAGTGAAGTGGGAGAGGGGGAAAAATTCAACGTTATTCTGCCTGTGATTCAAGGTCCTTTTCTCCCTGTAGATCTAACTAAATATATCTAAATCCATTATATCAGTGGACCTGTGCTGTTACTAATAAGCCAGTCTGACATCTATGGCATATAAACCTTCTACAAAAATAAAAGGAAGACTTTCCCAGATATTTTGCAACCAATATCAAGCTAATAATAAACTACATCTTAATTTGACACGTAGTTTGTGTTTCAGATATTGCAACGATTAATTTTACCTCGGTTGTTCAATTTGTGCATGTTGTGAGTATAGTTCTTGTGAGTATCGATCTAGCATGCCAGCTGAATTTTTGAGAGTAACACAAAGTTGCCCCTTTCAGTTCTGCTGAATCATCAGCTAATAAATAAACAACCATCAGGAACTAATTGTGTGGTAGAATCTCTGAACCCAACGTCTTGCCCAGATTATCATAATCAATGTAACAGTGCTCCAAGTGCAAAAAACACCGCTGATGAGCTTAACATTCCCTATGTCCTTTTCAAATTATGTGTTACAGTCTGTGTAAAAGAGCTGGTACCAGTGGGCTTTTACGACACAAAAGAAGGGGCAGAAATGGAACTGGACACCTAAAAGGTTGAAGTTACAAACATATGTTAAAAAAAGGTTAAACAAAATATATCTGTAATACTGCAGTGCACTTAAATAGTTCATTAAAAACAAAATAGGCCTTTAGGCCATAAAGGTCATGCACTGTGCAGTACACATAACATACAATGCAGAATACTCTTAGTAGCACACTGTGTACTTGCACAGTGTATGATGGCCTAAAGGCCTATTTTGTTTTTAATGAACTATTTAAGTGCACTGTAATAGAAGATACATTTAGTTTTACCTTTTTTAATATATGTTTGTGATCTCAGCCTTTTTGATATCCAAAAGCATTGAGCTTTTACCAGCTTTCCTGATTTTGTAGTGCATAGCTTGCAGTACCTGGATAGCTGACTCACAGTGCAATCCTAAAAACACTTTCCTGAGTAGACCTACTTAGGACTACTCTCTCAAGGATGCTATTAAAGTTGAGAAGAAGTTCCAATATTCTAAATATTCTAGAGGGACTGAATCCACTTGTCCTAGATGGAGTGATGTTGGCTTTTTCAGGGCAGGTTAAGAGCTTGGGGGATCTCATGGGCCCAGCCTTGGTGTTTGAAAAGCAGGATGGCATGGTTGCCAGGAGCTCTTTCTGTCAGCTGCATCTGATTCGCAAACCAGGGCTGTGCAATTTTTTTAACGGTATTTTTTAGTTCGGGTCTATGGGACCTGAGAAAATTTTGGGATTCCTGAAAAATCCCGAATCCCAATACTGGTATGGTATTTGGATCTGGGATTTTTCAAAAATCCCAAATTTTGTCAGGTCCAATAGACCCAAGAGGAAACATATATATATATATATATATTTAAACAGCCTGCTCCAGGGGCTGGTTTGGCTTCTCCTGCAGCCCAGTTTCTCTCAGCTCCTCACCGGCCCAGCTGATCCTGCACAGCGTGGTATATTTTCAGCTCAGGTAGATCCAAACACACACACCTACTGCCAACTCTCTCATTTCCAGAACCTCTTCGACAAAATTCTTTTTCACATGTTTAAAAGTTCATGATTCCGGGGGCTCCAAAAAAAAAAAAAGCCCTGGGGTTTGCTATTTTATTTGTGGTTTTAACTGAAAATGTTACCTATTATTGTAAGATGCCTTGAACTTGAAAATGTTTTAAACTATTATTGTAAGTTGTCTTGAGGCGGGATTTAAATGTTTTAATAAACAATAAACAGACAATACAGACAAACAAAACTCCCTTTTTTTCTCATGGCTGATTCACACATGCATGTGGTTTTCATTTTTTTCCCCAGCTGAATATTTTGCTTCTACTGAAACAAATTATGTTTATTACATGAGATAACAGGAAAATTGGTGTTCATACAGTTGCCAGGAAGGGCTAGTTAGAGTCAAGATGCATAAGTAACTGGATAATAAGCATAGCTAAGATTGGATTAAAGCAGTTGTATTATGTATCCAATCTCAGCTATACTTAACACCCAGTTAGTTATGAATCTTGACTCTAACTAGCCCTTCCTGGCAACAACCGCCCCACACACACATGGAAGGCTTAAGGAAAATTGTTTTTATGTATCCGAAGAAGTGTACATGCACACAAAAGTATATACCCAGAATTAAGCTTTATTGGTCTTAAAGGTGCCACTGGACTCAGACTGGACACAGACCAACATGGCTACCCACTTGAATCTGTCTTTATTACATTAAATTTAAACCATCTAAAATTCAAAGCATGAATTTCTTTTGGAATTTACTGCTACTTTCCCCAACTTTGTCATTAGACGTCAGGCTCTGATTTCAAATAAATGGACTGAAACTGAAGAAGGGGAAAAGTTACAAAACCTACCAAGTGGATGATTACAGCTACGACATGGTTCGGTGAGACACACAACTGCCTGTTGCAAGTCTGCCCTGGGTGGAGTGGGAGGTGGGTTAGGGTTTTTCCAGCCATTACATTTACAAGATTCTTCAGCCTGTGATTAAAAAGGGAGGGGAGAAGGAGAGAGAATAATGCCATGACTTTTGGAGAATGCAAACATCTGGCACATCATCACTAATGTTCATAAAATAGAGACTTCTGTATTGCTGGAACATAATCATTTTGTTACTGTAAATACACAAAACAAAATCAGCAGCCATGATTTATAAAGCAATAATTTCCTACTAGACTGGTAAATATTAGCCCTGGAAGAGATATTGGCTGAGAAAATTGGCAAGGCCATTCCCCTAATGAACCAAACATTACCCTGCAGTTCTTAGCATATGGTCCAGTACACCTAACCACTCATGCTATAGAAGACAGTGGTTTCTGTTCCTGGAATTACTGTAGATGTAAAAAGCTTTTAAATTTTAATGGGAATGTATAATGACTTTTACCCATGTATTTCTCCATCACAGATGAAATGAGCATGCAAGACCACTGCTGCTGAAATAATGCAATATATTTAACATGATTGCAAGTACCATTTCCATTAACTCTGAAATAGCCTCCACTAAATAACATGAGTTCATCATACACTATTGTGCATAATGTTTATATTTTGTGTGTGTAAAGTGCCGTCAAGTCACAGCCAAGCAATCACTAAATGACACGAAGTATTTGGTCCTACTACTATGCAGCCTTGCAGCAGGAAAGAACATTTTCATTTATCAGTTCATTATTTTCTTACCACCCAATATAAATGTTTTACAAGCAGCAGGATTTGCAACTTGTCGAGTGCCAGAGGTAGGGTTCCCAAATGTGCCCGGGGGGCGGGGAACCCCCCGCTTCGGAGCCCCCGAGTTCCGCCCCGGAGGAATCCGGGCCCGGGGAAAACCCCACCCCCGAAGCTGCGTCAGCGGAGGTGGCGCAGTCACGTCGCTGATGTTGTGGGCGTGGCTGAGCTCGTCGGGGGGGGGGAAACCATATGTTTTCCCCCCGATGAGCTCGGCCACGCCCCGAACGTCAGCGACGTCTGACGTCACTTCTGGTGACGTCGCAGCGGCGCGCGCTTCGCGCGCAAGAACAAACACCGAACTCCCGGCCGGGACGGAGCCTCCCCTGCTGGTGAGTTAAAAGGATTTGGCAACCCTAGCCAGAGGACAAAGTACCAGGAAACTGTGCTAAAGCAACCCTTCTCGGTATTTTTTCCACCTTACACATTTGTATATATACCATATGTTGCTCACATATTTATCTGTCCTCAGTATGAACTACATAATCTACACAAATGCTTGTGTTCCCCTCCACACCCACACAAGTATGCCTGTTTATAAGAGAAAAAAATACTGGGGAGGGTCACAACCAACATCCATAAATATGAAGCGGGGGTTTTGTAATTCTGTCAAGCACCGACAACTCTGCTCCTGCAACCCTGTGACATAAACACAATATCACAAAGACAACACAACATCCGACAGACTGTGCTATATTTATTACTCAACCTTAAAATGTATGGGGGCCAAGTAACTACCCAGAACCACAGTGTTGCACAAATATTATATTCAAGGATGCAAACAAACAGATGCATGAACATTGAATTTCCAGGAATTAATTCCAGCCCTCCCACAGAAACAACAAAAAGCATTTTGAATGTCAGACAGCTTCTTCTTCCTCCTCCTCCTCTTCCTCCTCCTCCTCCTCCACTGAGTTGTTATTTCTCGCTAACTCTTCCAAAACAAGTGACATTTAACTTACAATAATCCAGCCACACATTCTTTTCCCTCTATTTCATGATCTTTTAAATATACTTTACAAAACACTAAAATGTGACTTAATTTTCCACAGTTGTTTAAGTCTAGCAAAACACTCTCAATGTCAACCTAAATTTAAAAAATACCTTAAACATTCTTTTAAAGGGAAGAATTAAGCTGGCCTGGCTGTGGAGGGAGTTCTGTGAACCCCAGGGGGGCATCACAACCTCGAGCACGTTTTCAGACAAAGAAAAGCTTTACAGCAAGTCCTCCTCTACCAACTTCAAGTGATCCTGGACCCAAGTTATTTAGGGCTTTAAAGGTTAATGATACCAAAACAACAATCACAAGTAAACTGGGAGCCAGCATAGTTCTTCCTTCCTAGTTATGTCCCACTGGCTCACACCCGCTAAGAAGGTGGCAGGCACATTTGGAACCAACCGAACCCTTCAGAACACTCTTCAAAGGCAGCAAAGAACATTCAGATAAAGTACATCACCTGCTGAAATGTATGCCTTCAGTTCTTGACCCCAACAGGGAAGATATTTTTGCACAATAGAGGCCATACATTCCTCAGATGCTTACATTACATCCTGTTGAGTGGCTTTGAGACTTTTGCAGTGTTTTCCCGACTGTCTCCTGCAACTTGATCAAATGTCACTCCTCTGCTTTTCATTAGAAAAGAACGTATGAAATTACCTCCTTGAGGATTTTGAGCACTGCGGTAGAAAATCAACTGAAACATTTAGTTCCTCTGAAGAGCCTACAATACCTTATATAAACTACATATTGTATATCACTGTTATGACTTTTGTCGCGGAAACAGTCATTAAAAAGACATATCATACAAGTGGGGACCCATGATACTCTTTGGGGGGGTAATTCCTTTCCCCATCTTAATTTCTCCCCATTGCTGCTGCAATCCTTGGGGACACTGCAGCTCTCAGCCCCCACTCCCTCCCTCTGTCAATGGTGGCAAGTCCTGTGTCGTCCCCGCAACTGCTGAGCCCACCAAGGCTCCCCCCCCCCGTTGATAACAATAGTGGCAGCAAGCCCTGTGTGTCCCCTAGCTACTGGGCCCACCAAGGTTTCTCCTCCCCCAACAGTGGCGATGGCAGTGAGCCCTGCCCCGCTCCCAGCCAGGCCCGCTGAGACTTCTCCCCCAACAGCAGCAATGACAGTGAGCCCTACGTGGCTCCCAGCTGCTAGGCCCGCCAAGGCTTCTTCTTCCCAGACAGTGGCAGTGAGCCCTGAGCAGCTCATAGCCACTGAATTCCCTCACAGCTGCCAGCCCCAAGCTCCGCCACAGCTCCCAATGGTAAATGCATTCTCCCTGTGCATGAACAAAGAATGCTCTTTTAATGGGGGGGGGGGGCTTTAAACCTCCCTGTATATATTTTTAATGATTTAAGCTTTTTCTGCAAACTTGGGGATTTAGCTATCTGCAGACAGGGAACACACATGGGAAATAGCATCTCTCTCTCTCTCTCTCTCTCTCTCTCTGTATTGGCTGTGCTGTGCAGCGTATTGGCACTTTCCAGCTCTCCCATTGGCTGTGCTGTGCACTCCATCAGCCATTGGCTCATCAAACACCACTCAAGAGTACTCGCACACCATTGACTGGATGCTGGCTCTGCTCCTCTCCCCCGTCTACTGCCATTCCCTGTCTGAATAAACTGCCAAAACTGCTGTGTGGCTCACTTTCCCAGTGGCTGTTGCTAGGCAATCAAGCTTGGTTCTGTCAGTAAAAAGGCAAAGGTAGGAGGCCCTTTCCAGGCATACTTTGGTCTTTGTGGGGAACTCATTGGGGCCAGTCCTGACTAGGGTTGCCAGCTCCAGGTTGGGAAATTCCTGGAGATTTTGTGGTGGAGTCTACAGAAGCCAGAGTTTGGGGATGGGAAAGGCCTCAGCTGAACAGAATGCCATAGAGTCCACCCTCCAAAGCAGCTATTTTCTCTAGGAAGAAACCTAGGTTCTTGCTGTGGAAGCTGATTTTGGACCAGTCACAGACTTTCAGCCTAACCTACTTTACAGGGTTGTTGTGCGGATCAAAGGTGGGAGAGGAGAATGATGTGAGCTGCTTTAGTCCCCACTGCAGAGAAAGACTGTACTTTTCCCAGGTAGAGGCTGCAGGGAGGGGGGGGGAGATGGAAACCTGAAGTCACTGGGGCAGATAGCGGTACGTTGATGGTTGGTTGGGAAGGAGATAGGGTTGTTAATTCCAGGTTGGGAAATTCTTCAAGATTTAAGGGGTGGAGCCTGGAAAAGGTGGGGTTTGAGGAGGGGTGGGACTTCAGACAGGTACAATGCCATAGACTCCAACCTCCAAACCAAGCATTTCCTCCTGGGGAACCATTGTTGCCAATCTTAGGTGAGGGCTGGAGATCACTCAGAATTACAACTGCTCTTCAGATGGCAGAGAGTTCCCCTGGAGAAAATGGTGGACTCTGTGTCATTATTCCCTACTGAGGTTACCACAGCAAATTGACGCTGAGTGACCAAGGCCGGGGCACCCACCCAGAGCCTCTTTCTAGAGCTTGTTGTATTTATTTCCACAACGGACCTTATTCCTAGTTCAGATATAAAGCACCAACTAAAGACATTAGCTTGGATTCCATGGTATATATCTGGTTATACAGGAACCATTTTGCTGATTCCCCTTTTCTGCTACAGTTCTCCAAATCCCCCTCCTTCTGTTCCTGGGAATCCTTTCTCCCCTCCCAGAGCAACATTTCATATAGTTTTGGGCTAGAGCAGAAGGGGGAGGTGAGGAACTCCCATTCTGCTAATCTTTTCCAACAGCAGAGAGCTACCAAGGGATCTAAGTATGTGGGTGCTTATGTATTCCACATTCAACAAAGGCTATGACCAACAATTTTATAACCAAATGGAAACGTTATTATAATTCTAGTCACACTCTAGTTAAGGGCAGAAGTAGATGTTACATACGACGTGTAGCTGCCACTCAAAATGGCTTCCCTCAAAACACGTAGGATTGCTTACCCATAATTAAGTTATCCAATCTCACCTCACATTTTACCTTTAAAGCTCTATATGGCCAGAGTCCGGCATACTTGAGGGACCGCCTTTCCCCATATGTTCCCCCAAGGGCACTACGGTCAGGGACTCAACACCTCCTAGTAACCCCAGGCCCTAAAGATACTGTTTGCTGCAACCAGGGCCAGGGCTTTTTCGGTGGCGGCCCCTACCTGGTGGAACAAGCTCCCGGAGGAGATCCAGGCCCTGCGGGACCTTGTGCAGTTCCGCAGGGCCTGCAAGACGAAGCTCTTCCGCCAGGCTT